CTCTTCATGCAGGGTCACATTATTGGGTCCGGGAGGTTTGAGCTGGAACAGCAAGCACCTTGTCTTCACATGGCAGAGAGTCAGCATACAGGCAGCAGACAGAAGCATGGTCAATAAACAGACCAGGGTCAGTACAGGCGGCAGGCAGAGGCAACATTTCATTGGTGTAGTGGTGATTAGGAACACTGTTGCTGACTTACACTGGTCTGATGACACAGGAACTGGTGTGGCAACAACCAAGGACACTGTGGCTGGCTTACACTTGTCAGGTGACACTGAAATTTGTGTGATTGATTAGGGAACTCTGGCATACACTGGCCTGGTGTGGTGGCAATCAGGAACACTGATTCTAGCTACACTGGTCTGTCGACACTGTAACTGGTGTAGTGGTGATCAAAGACATTGACTGGCTACGCTATTAGGGCTCATCAACACTTAAGTTTGGGGGTTAAATATTGATTGGGATATAAATGCCTTTATTACCAATGCCTAAATGTTCCCCTGTACCCCTACAATATTAGTCTTTCTACCATGCCTGACCCTTCTCTCCACCTTAGTTGATTACTCTTAAGGGAATATGAATATGAGCTGTTAACACAGCTCAAGTATTTTATATTTGTTATGCTGATTTTATTCAGTTTAGCTATTTATTGAATTTTTTTATTATTACATTTTTGAGTTTATATTAATTTTTGTTTTTAATTGTTATTTATTTCATTACATTTTTAATTAGGTTATCAGTGTAGTGATTGTTAACCACTAGATGCCTCCCTGGTGCCTTTTAAGGTTTGACTTTTCAATGCCATCAATTTGGAATATCCTTTGTTTTATTATTAGATTAAATTATGGTGTCATACTCACCACTTTGTGAATCATAGACAAATTATTTTTGATGTTGATATTGTATAGTTTTTTTCTGTCATATATACATAATTGGCTTATGACTTTGCATCTAGCCACCATAAAGAGGCCTGAATGACATTGCTTTCCATTTTTATAACATCCTTTAATCCCGTAGGGATCTTACTTTCGGTTCCCGTAATTACTTTTTGTCTATATCAACGCTGTGACAGAGAGCGGTCTCCTAGCCCCTGAAAACGTCTGTTTATGACGAAACATGTCGGGTGGAGCTTCTTTTCTGACATCATCGTGTTGTCCGCCATCTTGGAACACCCATGTGTAATGATTGATGCCTGTAACTTCAGCACTGTTGTAAGTGCAATCTTGCTTGTTTCAATAAAGTAATTGAATTTACTGCACTATGAGATGCATTTCTTTATTGTTTTTTATGAGCCAACCCTGATCTTTAATTTTGGAACAGCTGGTTATATCAGAGCAGAGTATTGGGTCCCATATAGTCCATCTGTCTGACGGAAGTCACATTCACACTGAGCCCAACTTGACCTCCTATAATGAAGAGTCTGAGAATCTGGTAAGCCTTTGACTTGCTTAAATATGGTGTTGGCCATTCACATTGGTAATGCTTGGATGGAATGAAGAATTTTCACCAGTATTTGCACATTCAAGAAACCTTTACTCACTAAGACTGTTCTAACAATATTTTTTATTTTATTGTGGGAAAAATCATGCGGAATTTGAGGTGTCAGTGATGAATGGTACCCAAACATGCGTGGTGTGGAGATTCTGCCCTCGATTCAAAATCGCCAGCCTTTCACTGATTTAAACTTAAGTTTCAATGGGCTTTAATATTTAGTAACAGAACACCAATCCCCATGGGGAGTAAAAAGGTAAAGTATAAGTTTAAGATGATAAAGCTTATGAGAACATTAAAATTAAACATACAGTTCTGTAGAAATAATTTTAATACGGTTATGGCAGCTTCATATGTGTCATTTTGTGATATAAACAATATATTTACAAACTTTTAAAAGTGGGTAGCTACTGTATGTGAATACAGTATCTACCAGTGAAGGGATAACCAGAGTAATCCAATTTGTTAATAGGTATTTTTCAGGTATATTTAACCACTTGCCTATCGGGCACTTTTACCCTCTTCCTGCCCATGCCAATTTTCAGCTTTTTAGAGCTGTCACACTGTGAATGACAATTGTGTGGTCATGCAACACTGTACCCAAACAAGATGTTTAATCTTTTTTTGAGACAGATAGAGCTTTCTTTTGCTAAACAAACTAAAAAAAGACTGAAAATTTTGAAATAAAAAAACTGTTTTCTTAGTTTATGTTATAACATTTTGTAAATAAGTAATTTTTCTCCTTCACTGATGTGCGCTAATGAGGCTGCACTGATGGGCACTGATAGGTGGCACTGACTGGCACTGATAGATGGCACTGATTGGAACTGAATGAAAAAAAGAGAAGAAATCTCTGCCAGAAAAGTGTGTGGTATGCCCACCATTAGAATATACCGCCCTGCATCCACCCACTTCTAATGGTGGGCACACATCAGGTCACATGGTGCCACATGTGCCAGTTCCAAGATTGTACAAATGTCTAAATAGTGGCACGCCTGAATAAAAATTGTCCACGTATAAGTGGTACCCCATATAGAAAAAGGATGACGCCAAGTCCCAAACTATCTTGCTTCTGCTCCCCATGTAGTCTGGGCATCCGGGGAGCTCCATGTGACTATCTTTTCCCTCGTAAATCGTACACTTCTTTGTATAGCCTGTTATCCTCTCACAGGTCTTATACATCTTGACCCCATATCTGGCACGCTTACTGGGTAGAAATTGTTTGAATGCAAGGTGGCCAGAAAATTTAATGAGGGACTCATTAACGCAGATGTTTTGCTGGAGAGTATAGACATCTGCTAATTTTTGGTTAAGGTGATTTACAAGGGGCTGAATTTTGTAGAGTCTGTCAAATTCAGGGTTACCCTGAGGATGACAGAGTGTATTGTCGTTGAAATGCATGAAACACATTATACTCTCATATCTATTCCTGGCCATGGCAACAGAGAACATGGGCATATGATGAATCGGGTCTGTGGTCCAATACAACTGCAATTCTTTTTTTTTAGTAATGCCCATGTTGAGGGTTAGGCCCCAATAAAATTCGGAAACCAGAATGGGTTTCCATGCGAATGGTCTGGCAAGGTTTGAATTTGGGTTGGAAGCAATAAATTGTTGTGCATATAAATTGCTTTGATCCACAATCAATGCATACAGATCTTCCGTGAAAAACTGCTCCAAAAATCAAGGGGAGTAGTTAAATTTGCTGTTTCCACCTGAATTCTGGGTTGGACAGTGAAAGGGGGGTGCTGCAGAAATGTGGGCCGCCAATCGGGATTTGCAAGCACATCCAGAAGTATGCTAGGGGCTCTACGGGCCTGTGTGCGAATTCTTAGTGGCTGCGGGACAATACTTGTGCTCTCCACCGGACCAGCTTGTACTGCACTTATGGGGCTCGTCACGTCACCAAGTGATACTGCAGTGTTGGTATGTGAAAGACCAGGATGTACTAGGCCACTGGTGCTCGCCAGTTCACCAAAAGGTAGCGTGGCACAGTACTGGCACTCTACTGCATATGAGCGTCATCAAAATTTACTGGCAATTGCTAACAGAGATCAGGCCTGATTCTGCAAATACTGCGGTTTTGTGTGCAATGCATCAAGTGACAGTGACCTACTGACACTGCACTTGCTGGGGGAGAAGGGGGGGGGGGGGGGGGTGAGTGTAGGGGCTAAACGCTAACGCTGTGTTTTTTCTGGTATAGTGCTGATCTGATCAAAGATATTGATCTATTCACACACTATACTGGCAATGGAGGTGTATTGTGTATGAGAGTGTTCCTGGCAATTAAGGGGTTAAATGTGATTACTGGTGTACTGAAGGGCAATCTGAAGCTATCTGGGAGGGGAGGGGAGTGAAAATGACGGGAGCAAGAATCATGTATATATACGTGATTTTGTGCACCCGTGCCACCCTGTAGCAGTATTTCTGCTATAGGGCGGTCAGGAAGCTGTTAAACAAGCAGTTTGCATTACAGCGCTGCATTACTTTAACCGACCATTGCGCGGTCATGCAACACTGCACCCAAATTAAAATTTACGTCCTTTTTTCCCACAAATTGAGCTTTCTTTCAGTGATATTTGATCGCCTGTGCAGTTTTAATTTTTTACACTAGAAAAAAAAGACAATTTTGAGAAAAAAACAATATTTTGGACTTTTTGCTATTAAACATGTCCAGTAAAAACATGTAAAAAAATCAAATTTCATCATAAATTTAGGCTAAAATGTATTCTGCTACATGTCTTTGCTTAAAAAAAAATCCCAATACCTGTAAATTAATTGATTTACAAATAAAGTTATAGCATTTACAAATGGCGGTGTAGATACTGGATTTTTTTTTTTATACTAATAATGGTGGCGATCAGCGACTTATAGCGGGACTGCAGCGGGCATTCTGACACTAGGGGGAACTGACTTGGTGTCACTGTCATCTCCAGTGACACCAATACAGTGATTAGTGCTAAAAAAGAAAGCACTAACACTGTACTAATGGCACTGGGAAGTAATAGGTTAACATGAGGGGCAATCAAAGGGTTAACTGTGTTTTACTAGGGGACGGGGGGGTGTTCTTCACTGAAAGCACACTGCTCTGGATGGCTGTGCTCAGCCATCCAGAGCAGTGTGCCCAAACCGACAGGGAGGAGGACTATTGGTAAACAAAGCAGCCCTCCTCCCTGTCAGTGATCGCTGGTAATGGCGGTGCGGTTTGGGGGCTCGCACAACGCACGTGTTCCCTCTGCCTGGAAATACAAAATGACGTTTATATACATGATTTTGTTTACAAAACTCCCTGGCATGGTATTCTATGTGTCCATGCACACATAGGCTTTAATTTGCGTTTTTTGACAGGGGCGGTTTTTTTTTTTTTGGCTGGAAAAAAAAAAACCCAAACTAGTGGGTTTCTAGAGGAGTTTTTTTTTAGCTGTAAAAATGCTCTAACGCTGAAAAACATGGCAAAACACGGTACACTTGCATTTTTGTTTAAGCAAAAATGTTATTTAAAGTGTTACTAAACTCACAACAGTAAAATCTGTCTGTATATGCAGTAAAGCATGCTTGTTATACTCACTGTGGAATCTAAGGGCTTAATCCTCTGCATGGTGTAAAAGAGCCGCTCGATCCTGTCTTCTCTTCCCCTCCTCTTGTTCAAATGTCCTCGTCTTATCTCCTGATAAGACAGACTGAACCTGTAGCCATTCTGCACATTTGCATGTGTATTGCTAGAGAGGTTTTTTTTTTTCTTAGGAGAGTGCATGTGATCAGCACAGGGCCAATCAGTACTGTCCAGACAGAGAACTCCTCCTAAAACTTTAACCAGTGCTCTGCTAAATACTGATAGAAGTCACAAGACTGCTCTAACTGTTGATGAGAAAAGGTATTTAGCAGTTTATATTTACTAAAATAATTGCCTTTTCATGTTCTGTGTACTGTGGGAGACTAGGTATAGTAAATGAAGGGTCCTGGGTTTAGTAACACTTTAATTTTTGTTTGTGTAAAAAAAAAGCTAAAAAACACAAATGCGGAACAATGCAGCTAAATGCTAATGCAAAATGCTAAAAAACCGCTGAAAAACGTGTGTTTTTAATGTGACTTTACACAGGTATCGCTACCAGCGTTAATAAAATGCCCAGTGTGCATGGAGCCTAATAGGTTCTATGTAATATTTTAAGCTGCATCTCCCTCCAATTTTCGTTAGGAGTGACTTTCCGAATAGAAGTCCAACTCCTTAATATTAAGTCCTCCATCTCCTAATTCATCTCTCTGCCCATAGAATAAATAATTTATCTGAGTTACCAAGTGGAAAGGTCAGTGTAGAGCAGCGGTTCTCAACCTGGGGGTCGAACGACGCTTCCACAGGGGTCGCCTAAGACCATCGGAAAACACATATTTCCGATGGTCTTAGGAACCGAGACACCGCTCCTCGCCGCCGCCACCGCCGTCTCCAGGTGTGGGCGGGATGACATACCGCCCCTGTCATCTGGACACACCTCGAGATCAAACCTCGCCTGTGATTGGCCGCCGGCACTGTAGCTCAGGAGAGGCACACAGGCGGCCAATCACCGGCAAGGAGGTGGAGCTTGGAGAGGAGGAGCCGAGCGGCACCGCGAAGATCGAGCGAGTGAAGAGGAGGAGAGCGGCCGGAGAAGGAAGACATCTGACAGGTAAGTGTCGGTACCATGGAGAGGGAGGGAGCGAGCGAGCCCAGGCTGGAGCAGGGGTCTGCAAGGTAAGTATCATTGGTGTCAGTGGGAATAGTGCCCCATCATTGGTGTCACTAATACCAATAATGGGGCACTATTCCTCCCACTGACACCAACGATGGGACACTATTCCTCCCACTGACACCAATGATGGGGCACTATTCCTCCCACTGACACCAACGATGGGGCACTATTCCTCCCCCCACTGACACCAACGATGAGGCACGATTCCTCCCCCAAATGACACCAACGATGGGGCACTATTCCTCCCCCACTGACACCAAGGATGGTGGGGCACTATTCCTCCCCCACTGACACCAAGGATGGGGCACAATTCCTCCCCCCACTGACACCAAGGATGGGGCACTATTCCTCCCCCCACTGACACCAAGGATGGGGCACTATTCCTCCCCCCACTGACACCAAGGATGGGGCACTATTCCTCCCCCCCACTGACACCTATGATGGGGCACTATTCCCCCCCACTGACACCAATGATGGGGCACTATTCCCCCCACTGACACCTATGATGGGGCACTATTCCTCCCCCCACTGACACCAATGATGGGGCACTATTCCTCCTCCCACTGACACCAATGATGGGGCACTATTCCTCCCACTGACAGCAATGATGGGGCACTATTCCTCCCACTGATACCAATGATGGGGCACTATTCCTCCCCCCACTGACACCAATGATGGGGCACTATTCCTCCTCCCACTGACACCAATGATGGGGCACTATTCCTCCAACTGACAGCAATGATGGGGCACTATTCCTCCCACTGATACCGATGATGAGGCACTATTCCTCCCACTGACACCGATGATGGGGCACTATTCCTCCCACTGACACCGATGATGGGGCACTATTCCTCCCACTGATACCGATGATGGGGCACTATTCCTCCCACTGATACCGATGATGGGGCACTATTCCTCCCACTGACACCGATGATGGGGCACTATTCCTCCCACTGACACCGATGATGGGGCACTATTCCTCCCACTGATACCGATGACGGGGCACTATTCCTCACACTGATACGATGACGAGGCACTATTCCTCCCACTGACACCGATGACGAGGCACTATTCCTCCCACTGACACCAATGACGGGGCACTATTCCTCCCACTGACACCAATGATGGGGCACTATTCCTCCCACTGATACCAATGATGGGGCACTATTCCTCCCACTGACACCAATGATGGGGCACTATTCCTCCCACTGATACCAATGATGGGGCACTATTCCTCCCACTGACACCAATGATGGGGCACTATTCCTCCTCCCACTGACACCTATGATGGGGCACTATTCCTCCTCCCACTGACACCTATGATGGGGCACTATTCCTCCCACTTATACCGATGATGGGACACTATTCCTCCCACTGATACCGATGATGGGGCACTATTCCTCCCACTGACACCGATGATGGGGCACTATTCCTCCCACTGACACCTATGATGGGGCACTATTCCTCCCACTGATACCGATGATGGGACACTATTCCTCCCACTGATACCAATGATGAGGCACTATTCCTCCCACTGACACCGATGATGGGGCACTATTCCTCCCACTGACACCGATGATGGGGCACTATTCCTCCCACTGACACCGATGATGGGGCACTATTCGTCCCACTGATACCGATGATGGGGCACTATTCCTCACACTGACACCAATGACGAGGCACTATTCCTCCCACTGACACCGATGACGGGGCACTATTCCTCCCACTGACACCAATGACGGGGCACTATTCTTCCCACTGATACCAATGATGGGGCACTATTCCTCCCAATGACACCAATGATGGGGCACTATTCCTCCTACTGCAAAATTACAGTTATGAAGTAGCAACGAAAATAATTTTATGGTTGGGGGTCACCACAACATGAGGAACTGTATTAAGGGGTCGCGGCGCTAGAAAGGTTGAGAACCACTGGTGTAGAGTATATAGGGATACAAAGCCAAGGTACTGGTAAAGTGTCCTGGTTTACCTCCATGCTATTAAAGTACCCTAAATAGTATATTCAATTTAAACCCAGTAGGTTGTTGATTAAATGGGATGTGAAGAAGGTTACCTAATGGATAAACCACCTCTTGTTCCAACCCTGTATTGGTGAAATATGTATTTCCCATCCAATCCCTCACATACTGAAGTAAACAAGCGATGTTACATGGTTCATAGGTCACTATTAAGGCTTGACATGATTTGGTTGGTGAAAATGTATTGCTGTATGTGCTTAAAGCCACTATTTTGCTGATGATGTTCATATCTGATCATTCTCCAATTCTATTAACTTCACATAATAGGGTAACTGCCATGAGTACACCAGTATGGAGATTCCCCCCTCTTATTTATAGGACAAAGATAGTTCTAAAGCAAAATTACAGGCTTAGTGGTCAGAATATGAGAGTCACAATTCTCAGCTTAGAGACTAAAATTATATTGGGAGACAGCAAAAACTGTAATGAGGGGCAGAATTATGGCATACACTAATACCAAATGCAGAGAAGCACTAGCTAAATATATGGAAGCTAGTAAATAGGCTAGACTAGCTAATAATAAATTTAAGCAGTCTATGACTGACAACAATCTATCTAGATGGATGCAGGTTAAGGGGGAAACTGAGATCTGGCTGGTGGAATATAATGAGCCCATTAGATATTTTGTACAAGTTGATCAGAATACATTTGGTAACCAGACTGGACGTTTATTAGCTAACCTTGTTAGAGGGCAACAGCCACCTCAACATATTACATACACTATATTGCCAAAAGTATTGGGATACCTGAATTTACACGCACATGAACTTTAATGGCATCCCAGTCTTAGTCTGTAGGGTTCAAATTGAGTTGGCCCACCCAATGCAGGCTATAACTGTTTCAACTCTTCTGGTAAGCCTGTCCACAAGGTTTAGGAGTGTGTCTATGGGAATGTTTGACAGTTTTTCCAGAAGCGCATTTGTGAGGTCAGGCAATGATGTTGGACAAGAAGGCCTTTCTCACAGTCTCCGCTCTAATTCATTCCAAAGGTGTTCTATTGGGTTGAGGTCAGGACTCTGTGCAGGCCAGTCAAATTCCTTCAGCCCAAACTCACTCATCCATGTCTTTATGGACCTTATTGAACAGGTGGCAAACTATCACGGTACCACGCTTGAATTCACTGAGCTTCTGAGAGTGACCCATTCTTTCGCAAATGTTTTTAGAAGCAGTCTGCATACCTAGATGCTTAATTTTATACACCTGTGGCCATGGAGGTGATTGGAACACCTGAATCCAATGATTTGGAGGGGTGCCCCAATACTTTTGGCAATAATGGTTGTTGTTCTAACGGTTTGAAATCAGAACTCTGTGCAGGCCAGTCAAATTTCTCTACCCCAAACTCGCTCATCCATGTCTTTATGGACCTTGCTATGTGCACTGGTGTGCAGTCATGTTGAAACAGGAAGAGACCATCCCAAAACTGTTCCCACAAAGTTTAGAGCATGAAATTGTCCAAAATGTCTTGGTATGCTGATGCTTTAAGAGTTCCCTTCACTGGAACAAACAGGCCAACCCCAACCCCTGAAAAACAACCCCCACACCAAAATCCCCCCTCCACCAAATTTTACACTTGGCTCAATTAAGTCAGGCAAGTACCGTTCTCCTGGCAACCGTCAAACCCAGACATGCCCATCAGATTGCCAGACAAAGTGTGATTCGTCACTTCAGAGAACACATCTTCACTCCTCTAGAGTCCAGTGTTGGTTTGCTTTACACCATTGCATCTGATGCTTTGCATTGCACTTGGTGATATAAGGCTTGGATGTAGCTGTTTGTCCATGGAAACCCATTCCATGAAGCCTTCTATGCACTGTTGTGCTAATCTGAAGGCCACATGAAGTTTGGAAGTCTTTAGCTATTGACTCTGGAGACAGTTGGCAACTTCTGCGTACTGTGCTCTTCAGCATGCGCTGACCCTGCTCTGTCATTTTATGCAGCCTACCACTTCATGGCTGAATTGCTGTTGTTCCCAGTTGCTTCCACTTTGTTATAATACAGTTGACTGTGGAACAGGTGGCAACCTATCACTGTACT